GTCTTGGATATTTTGTTATAGCAGCACAAATGGACTAAGACACCCACCCACACCGACACATACGCACAGTCATGCAGAAAGCATCTCATGGATTGCTCTCAAAAGCACTGGTGGAGGGAAGGCTTCCAGCATGGGGCAGGGGCCTGACAACGATTGATGTCCAGATCCAAGGCCAAAGATTCCCAGGGGAGCAAGAAGGCGTCCCAGTGCCTGGTGCTGTGAAGGGCGCACAATCGCATGGGCTAGATTTTTATACAACTGGCAACATAGTAGGTTTGTTGACACCATAAATGTTATGGAGGCAAATACCTCATCTGTCTGGACAAGCACTGAACCACTGAGGCTTGAGACAGTGCCTGGTGCTGGTTGCCCAACAAATGTCCAGTGAATCTACAAAAGTCCAATGGCACCTAGCAAAGTGGACGCGCAGGGACATGTGAAGCTGTGTGCACACACATACAGCAGGTGAATCAGAAAGCGGAAACCTCCTCATAAACTTTATTGCTCTTAAAAATGCTGATGGAGGAGAGACTTCTTCCAGCACAGGCAGTTACCGATGATGTCCAAGTTCAAAGGCTCTAAGAGGACCCAGGAGGAGCAGTTCCTTACTTGCTGAGGGAGCCAGGGTGATCTCATATTTTCTGCTTCAAGATTCTGAATATAATGGAGCAAGCAATTATCATGGAGCCCACCAGGATGCTTGAGATGCTGAAGCTCAGAGCCAGTCTGGAGTTCGTCTGTGCTTTTCTCTGATCACCAAGGAAGTTGGCTTCCCGGGTCTGTTGGGGGTGGGGGGGAACCAAGCTGGTGGGAATGTTTTCCCCGAGGAGCAGGGGAGTAGGGGAGGGGCACCCCTACGGAAAGGCGGGGAGCACAAGGTAAGAAATGGTGCATGAGGGAGGTAAGGGCAGGGTTCAGTCCCCCAGGAAGGAGGAAGGAACCAGGGGGACAGGAAGAGGGAGTGGGTCTGGGCAGAGGAGGAGGAGGAGCAAGGGCAGCTAGCCGGTGAAGAGGAGGGAAATCCCGAGGAACAGGAAGAGGCCCTCCTGCTGGAAGGAGCACCCCGAGGCTGACTTGGCGATGGCCAAGGGACTTGGTGGTGGCCAGGTGGTGCCCACCTTAAGGGAGAACAACAGGGCTGGGATTGCCAGCAGGATGAAGAAGAAGAAGGATATGATGGCGAGAAACAAATAATCCTTTTCTGGGGGAGGCGCAGGCATCAGGACCACCGGCTGCATCAGGCCGAGCGGCTGCGAGGACATGAGCTGCTGCATCGGCAAGAACTGCTGCTTCGGGGGGTTCGGCCCCCAGTTGGCCTGGGCACCCGGGCCCTTGGGGCTGCTCACAGCAGCCATGGACCCTGGAAACTGCAGACAAGGGCGACAGGGTGGAGAGTGGGGACATCTGAGTTCCCAAGAAATGGGGACCAGCCAAACCAACCCCTCTGGCTAGAAAGGCACTGAAAACCGACGCTGCCCCAAGCCAGGGGACAGCGCCCCAAGCCAGAACCCACCACCCCTCCACGTTCCCATAGAATAGTCCCAGTGATTCTGTAACAGCCACACGACCCTCCTCTACCCTTCCATAGCCCCTCTCTGAACCCCCAATGCCCTCCCTGCCCCCTAATTGCCTCACTTTCCCCTTCTAAACACCCACTACCCTACCCCCACCCCACACACATGCTTGCACTCCCCGACTTTCCTGATAACCCATCACAAACCTAGTCAACGTCCCTAAGACTTCCCTGCTGTTCAGTCCCTGAGGCAGCCTTGGCGATTTGGGTCACAGGGGTGTGGCCTCTAGTGACCACCACTTCATTATGATTGGCTACGCCTTTGTGGGTGGGTCTCCAGTGCTTAAATCTGGTTTCTGATTGGTTCATTGTACACAAGGGGCGTTACCCAGACACTCCCCTTTCCTCCTGCCTTTCTGATCGATTCAGTGAGTAAGAGGCCCGGGTTACAGTTACTTGCCCTTTTTGTTGTTGTTCACAGTTTGTTTGGTTGTTTTTTTCGTTTTTTTGTTTTTTTGGGTTTTTTTGAGACAGAGTCTCACTTTGTTGCCCAGGCTAGAGTGAGTGCCGTGGCGTCAGCCCAGCTCACAGCAACCTCAAACTCCTGGGCTCAAGCAATCCTCCTGTCTCAGCCTCCCAAGTAGCTGGGATTACAGGCATGCGCCACCATGCCCCGCTAATTTTTCATATATATATTTTTAGTTGTCCAGTTAATTTCTTTCTATTTTTAGTAGAGACGGGGTCTTGCTCAGGCTGGTTTTGAACTCCTGACCTCGAGCAATCCACCCACCTTGGCCTCCCAGAGTGCTAGGATTACAGGCATGAGCCACCGCGACAGCCTGTTGTTCACAGTTTGAACTCCTGATTGCTTCGCTATATAGTGTGAGGCCTCACTTCCAGATGGAATGTGAGTGTAAGGGGCAGATTTATTGATATTCCTATTAGGAGCTTAGTGCACCTGAGGCCTGGGCTGGGCTGGACCCTGAGGGCTGGACAAGCCCATGGCTCTCCAGGAATTCACAGGCCATGAAAAAGAGGGAAAACACGCAAATAAAGAAAGAAAACTGGCTCGGCACGGTGGCCCACGCCTGTAATCCTAGCACTCTGGGAGGCTGAGGCGGGTGGGAGGCTGAGTCAAGGTCAGGAATTGGAAACCAACCTGAGCAAGAGCAAGACCCCATCTCTACTATAAATAGAAAGAAATTAATTGGCTAACTAAAAATATATGGAGAAAAAATTAGCCAGGCATGGTGGCGCATGCCTCTAGTCCCAGCTACTAGGGAGGCTGAGGCAGGAGGATCGCTTGAGCCCAGGAGTTTGAGGTTGCTGTGAGCTAGGCTGACACCATGGCACTCTAGCCTGGGCAACAGAGTGAGACTTTGTCAAGAAAGAAAGGAAGGAAGGAAGAAAGGGAGAAAGGGAGAAAGAGAGAGAGAGAGAGAGAGAGAGAAAGAGAGAAAGAGAGAAAGAAAGAAAGAAAGAAAGAAAGAAAGAAAGAAAGAAAGAAAGAAAGAAAGAAAGAAAGAAAGAAAGAAAGAAAGAAAGAAAGAAAGAAAATTAATTCACTGAGAACCAAGAGCTAAGAGGGAAATAACTGAAACAAGCAGGCAGGACTCTGGAAGGCCACAAGGGGCTAGGGGTGGGAGTGGGGTTGGCAGGAAAGGCCTCTCTGAGAAGGGAACATCTGAGCTGAGACTTGAAGTACAAGAGGAGCCACCAGGAGATACTGAGGAAAGACTTCCAGGTAGGGCCAACAGCAAGTGCAAAGGTCCTGAGGTAGGAAGGAGGTTGGTGAGACCGGGAACAGAAACAAGGGCAGCGTAGCTGGACTCGGTGATGGTTCTAGATGCATGAACAGCACATCCCACTGCATATATTCAAATACACATACAACCTGCAAGCCAACAAATCTCCCACTTAGAATTTTTTCATTTTGAACGTTTTCAACATTCTCTTTATATGAACAGCCCCACCCACATATGGTGCTGGAGGTGACCCAGAGCAAGGAAGCAAAGTGACTGTGCTCAGCCCCTTGAAGAATTAGGTTGAATAACTAAAGGATGCATGTGCTGGTGGTTCCCTGCCTTGGAGCTTCCTTGGCTGAATGTTTCGCTTGGCTTTCCCAGGCCATCAGGAAAAGCCAAAAGGTGATGAAGAAAGTACTCACAATTCTACACATACTCAGCCAAGCGGCCCCCACTGAAAAATGAATTGGAATAAAGAATAAAATAAATTGCTAAAGCCAGACTCAGGAACTCCCCAGCAGATTGTTAAAAGAGACAAGGGAAAGATTAAAAGGCAGTAGAAAACCCCACCCACCAAGTGATATGGAAGGCGGATGTAGAAGAGTCCACCTAAATTCGCATCCATTCCAGGGTATTTAGTGAGGAAGGGAAGAGGTTGCAAGTTTTTACTCTGCAATGTGGAACTAGACATTGTTACTGAAATTCCAAACTCAAGACTCACTCCCAACTTTCCCTGCTGCTAACAGCCGCTCCAGGCTAGCGCCAGCCCTGCACGACAGCAAAGCTGCCCAACTCGCTCCACGCTTCAGCCCCCCAATCCCACCCTCCCCTCAGCATCTACCGTGTTTCCCAGAAAATAAGACCTCCCCAGAAAATAAGCCCTGGCAGAATTTCTAAGGATTTGTGCCATAGAAGCCCCACCCCAAAAATAAGCCCTAGTGACAGGCGTGGCTGCGCGGCGTGGCTGCACAACCCGTGCATGTCGCACGGAGCGGGAAAGAAGACGAGCAGCCCTTCTCATCTGCCCTATCGTGACAGCTGCTGTCCCAGAGGTGACTGGAAAGGTGCGGGCAGCCCCACCCACAAGGTCAGCTCCCCCTGTGCGTGCTGCAAGCTGAGGCTTTGAGGGGAAAATAACACATCCCCTGAAAATAAGCCCTAGGGTGTCTTCTTGAGGAAAAATAAATATAAGATCCTGTCTTATTTGGGGGGAAACACGGTAGAGTGGATGTTTCCAAAATAGCGACCACATGGTGTCACTCTCTTGTTTAAATCTTTCACTGCTTTTCCTCAACACTTAAAATTCAGGCTCCTTCTTATGAATGACGGACAAGACGTTGCAGCCTGTAGCCCTCTTTCCAGAACCTTCTCCTGACTCCAACTCATGCTCGGCTCCATCCGCTGGAACTCCCTTCTCTAGATTGGCAATGTGGGGGCTCCTTTCCATTCTACAAATCTCAGCTTCCCCCCACCTTGAGTAGCACCCGCCAACCAATTTCTGTCACATCCCTCTCTGCCTTTGTAGTCCGTCCCCCTACCTGAAATTATCTTGTTTACTGATGTGCTGCTTTTTTACTTCTCTTCTGCGTGCTAACATGAGTTCTGCGAGGCAGGAGTCTGTTCTGTCTTCTTCAATGAACCTGGCGCACAGTAGGTGCTCAATAGATGTTAGTTGCATGAATAAGTGAATCCTGGGGGAACTCACATGCACAGACAAAGAAGGGTCACCCAGAAAGCAGAAATGTCCTCTATAATTTATTGTTCTCCAAAATACCAGGGGAGGGGAGATTCTGTTCCAGGGACAGAGTCACCGTGAACATCTGAGTCCAAAGAGGCTGTGGGGAGAGAGGCAACCCCACCACCATCCCTGGCACTCTGAGCGGGGAGGGGCCAGGTCACCCTGGGGGGTCTCCTGGACCGTGGGGGCATCCGTCACCAGGCCAACTGGATGGAGGACGTGAAGAAGATAAACAGCAGCCCCAGGACGACACTCGCCATGCCCATGGCCAAGGCCATGCTGGAATTCCTCTCTGCCCTGGTTCTGTCTCCACAGGTGTTGCCGTCCTGGGTCTGTGAGGGCGGGGGAGGCAGGTCGGCGGGAGTGTCCCCAAGACGGGGTGCAGATGGACGGAGCCAGGGCAGAGAGGGGCCCTTGGTTGGGGTCAGCTGAAGGGAAGCCAGAGGGCGTCTCCTTAGGGAGAAGAAACCTAGGACCAGGGGAGAGGTGAGGGTCGGGACAGGACCCACAGAGTCGGGGAAGTGCCTTGGGGGAGGAGGGGACAAAGGGCAGAGTGAAATACAAAGGGGGGACTGGGGGAGAAGCGGGGTGGCGGAATGTGGGGGGCAGGGTAGGTGTCCGGGGAGAAGGGGAGCAGGGTCTCAGAGTGTGACAAAAGGAAGGAGCAAAGTGGCCCCTGGAGAGACGTCTGGGAAAAGGGAGAAGAAGGGAAAAGAAAGGGGTTAGGGGCGGGAGGGACACCCCTGGGCTGCAGGACAGGACAGAGGCACCCGTCCTTACAGCCAGGGGTGGCCACGCCTCACCCTGATGGAGAAAATGAGGGCCAGAATCCCAAAGGGGAAACAGCAGAGCAGGGACACGATGGACAGCGGCAGGAAGTCCTCCACTGGAGGGTCCACGGGCAGCGGCAGGGACACCATCGGTGGCCTCACAAGGCCTGCAGGGCCCAGGGGGCTGCGGCTATACGCTTCGGGCAGGCAGCACCGCGACCAGCAGAGACCGGCCTGCAGACAGCACGGGGGAGAGGGACAGCTGAGGAGGAATGCCATGGGCTGAAGTGACCCCAAGAAGGAAGCAGAGCCTGGCCCACCAGCAGGGGTCACACCGACTCCAGGGATGACGCTCCCCAGAACCCGCAACCCCCTCGCTGCCCCATCTCCTCCTTCCTGCACCGTTTAACTCTCTCCCTAATGCCCTTAACGCCCACTGCCTTGCCACGGCCCCTTGCTGCCGCCAATACCCTCCACCTGTGCCGTGTCCCTTAACTCCCTGTCCCCATAACCCCTTCCTTTCCTGGCAACCTCATCCCTGTCCCGACCCCATCCAGATTGCCCGCTCAACCCTCCCAGTCTCCCCACAAGCCCCTTGCAGTCCCCCCATAATTGTCTTCTCGACCCCCACAACGCTCCCCAGGCTCCCCAGGCTCCCACAACGCACTCCTTGTCCGGTCACCTCCCTCCCTCCCCCCACAGCCCACTCCCCATCCCGGTAGTATCCTCCCTGTGCCCCAAACCCCTTCCCCCATGTCCCCTTCCAGTCTGCCACGCTCTCCTCCCTGTCGCCTGTGAGCCCCCTATTCGTGCCCCCGTAAGCTTCATCCTATCCTGCTGGAATCCTCTTCTCAGCCTCCCCCCCGTAACACGCCCCCCAGACTCCAGTTAGCCAACCAACTCATTTGTAGTCCCGAACCATCTCTACGTTGCCAGGGAGTGACGTCACCGGAGTGACCTCACCGAGGCACGGCCTCTCTAATCGTCCACTCTGCCTTTGACTCTGCTTTTCCTTCGGTATTGTGATCGGCTCCTTTTATGGGGGGGCGGAGTTCCAAAGGTTTTCTTGTCGTCTGGGCTTCTGATTGGTTCAATGAAAAGGGGGCGTGTTTCCTGGCCATTCCTAACTTCTTCTTGATTGGCTTGATGAACACAGGAGGCAGGAATTCAGATCCTTGCTTTTCCTCTAAGTGAGCTCCCTATTCCCGTAGGTATAAAGTGCGCAGTCCCGTGAAACTGGTATTTTCCAATCTGGCCGACAGAAGAGTTCCATCAGTGCTAATGGTGGGATTTACTAATTCATTCCATGTAGATTTATTTGGCACCTGCTTTGTGCCTGGCCTTGCGCTGGGCTCTGGGAACCAAGAGGCGCCCAAGAACAGCCAAAGCCATGGCTCTCGGGGAGTTCACAGTCCGTGGGGAAAACAGACGATAAACATCATTTTCAGACGGTAGTGAGTGCTCTGGAAGGAAAGAAATAAAAGGATGTGGCAGAGTGGGCTCTAGGAAGGCCAGTTGACATGAGTGGAGGAGGAGGAGGGGACATATAAGATGAGACCTGAGGCCTATGAAGGATCCAGCTGCGGACAGATTTTTTTCTTTTCTTTTCTTTTTATTTTTGAGACAGAGTCTCGCTTTGTTGCCCAGGCTAGAGTGAGTGCCGTGGCGTCAGCCTAGCTCACAGCAACCTCAGACTCCTGGGCTCAAGCAATCCTCCTGCCTCAGCCTCCCGAGTAGCTGGGACTACAGGCAGGTGCCACCATGCCTGGCTAATTTTTTCCTCTATATATTAGTTGGCCAATTAATTTTTTTCTATTTATAGTAGAGACGGGGTCTCGCTCTTGCTCAGGCTTGTTTCGAACTCCTGACCTCGAGCAACCCACCTGCCTCGGCCTCCCAGAGTGCTAGGATTACAGGTGTGAGCCGCCACGCCCAGCCATGGATCCAGTGGCTGAGAGACAGAAATAAGGGCAGTGTGGCTGGAGTGTGATAAGGGAGGGGCAGGAGGAAGGAGGTGAGGAAGAAGAGGAGAGCAAGGTCTGCACACCTAGGTGTAGACTTTGGGTTTGATTCTAAGAATTGTGGGAGCGTTATGAAGTGTTTGAGCCAAGAGGTGTGCTATGATTTAGGCTTGAAAGATGCTCTGAGCTGAGGCTTGATGAATAGAGTGGGGGCAGTAGGTTCCTACTTTTCCTGAGGGTTCACGCGGAAAAGGATAGGGAACAGCCATGGGCTAGGGATATCTGGCATACAGAAGTCCCCAGGGAAAGTCAACCCAGAGAGGACTGAGGCAGCATGACCTGGGAATAGAGAAGTCCCTCTCTTCTGGATCCCTGGCTGGCCTCTGATTTTCATCCCTCTGGCCGGTTCCCAGCCCTTCCCTTGAATGTTAATTCCTATTCATCAAGCCTCAGCTCAGAGCATCTCAACAACAGACTAGATCAAGCAGAAGAAAGAATTTCTGAATTTGAGGACAGACCTTTAGAAATAACCCAGTCAAACAATAAAAGAAAGGAAAAGAGAATAAAAATGAATGAACATAGCCTACATGACATATAGAGGGCCACGAAGCAACCAAATTTTCTAATTTTCGTTCTCCAGAAGGCAGAGGAAAAAAAAATGAAAAGGATAGAAAACTTATTTAACAAGATAATAGCAGGACACTTCCCAAGTCTAGCAAGATATGGGAAGCTCCGAGATCCTGAAATAGATGCAATTCAAAAGGTATGCACAGCAAATTATAGTCAAACTGTCAAAAGTCAAAAGCAAAGAGAGAATTCTAAAAACAGCTAGAGAAAAGTGTCTAGTCATTTACTTCAAAAAAGAAAGAAAGAAAGAAACCATCAGACCAATAGTGGATTTCTCAGGAGCAGCCTGGCACCCTACAATAGGATGTTATATTCAAAATGCTAAGATAAAACAACAACAACAGTCAGCCAACAATACCAGACCCAGCAAAGTTATTCTTCATAAATGAAGGAGAAATAAAGTCCTTTCTCAGACAAGCAAAACTTGAATTTATCACCACTAGATGAGCCCTATAAGAAATGCTTAAGGGACTCCTACATCTGGAAGCAAAAGGGCGATATCTACCACTATGAAAACAAAAAATTATAAAACCCACTGGTAGAAGAAACACACACAAATACAGAGGAGAAAGGAATCAAATGTTCACACTACAGAAAAGTACCAAACCGCAATGATAAACCATAAGAGAGAAAGAAACAAATATTATACAAAGCAATGAGAATTGAATTAATAAAATAACAAGAATAAGCGCTCACATATCAATAATAACCTTGAATGTAAATGGATTAAACTTTCCATTTAATGTATATTTTTAAGTGACCTAATTTTATCCTGTCCAGAAAAAAACTCATCTCATCTGTAAAGACACATAGACTGAAAGTGAAGGGATGGGAAAAGATATTCCACCAAAAAAACCCAAAAGTGGGCCGGGTGTGGTGGCTCACGCCTGTAATCCTAGCACTCTGGGAGGCCGAGGCGGGTGGATTGCTCGAGGTCAGGAGTTCAAAACCAGCCTGAGCAAGAGCGAGACCCCGTCTCTACTATAAATAGAAAGAAATTAATTGGCCAACTAATATATATAGAAAAAATTAGCAGGGCATGGTGGTGCCTGCCTGTAGTCCCAGCTACTCGGGAGGCTGAGGCAGGAGGATTGCTTGAGCCCAGGAGTTTGAGGTTGCTGTGAGCTAGGCTGATACCACGACACTCCTTCTAGCCTGGGGAACAAAGTGAGACTCTGTCTCAAAACAAAACAAAACAAAACAAAACAAAACAAAAATGAGCAGGAGTAGCTATGGTTATATCAGATAAAACAGGCTTTAAGTAAAAAACTGTAAAAAGAGACAAAGAAGGTCATTAAATAATGATAAAAGGATCAATTCCACAAGAGCATATAACAATTCTACTTTATTTTTCCAAAGCAAGAAAGCATTTGGATATAACAATTCTAAATATATATGCAGGCCACAGTGGCTCATGCCTGTAATCCTAGCACTCTGGGAGGTGGAGGCAGGAGGATCGCTTGAGGTCAGTTCAAGACCAACCCAATCAACAGCAAGACCCCATCTCTACTGAAAATAGAAAAAAGTAGCCAGGCATGGTGGTGTGCACGTGTAGTCCTAGCTACTCAGGAGGCTGAGGCAGGAAGATCGCTTGAGCCCAGGAGTTTGAGGTTGCTATTAGCTAGGCTGATGCCACAGCACAGTAGCCCAGGTGGCAAAACAAGATTCTGTCTTGTCTCAAAAAAAAATACATATGCACCCAACACTGCAGCATCCAGATTTATAAAGCAAAAATTGTTAGATCTAAAGGGAGAAATAGACTCCAATACAATAGTACCTGAGGACTTCAACACCCACTATCAGTACTAGACAGATCATCTGGACAGAAAATCAACAAAGATTTAAACAACAAAGATTGGTTTTAAACTGCACTTTAGACCAACAGATATTTACAGAACATTTCATCCAACAGCTAATAAAATACATTCTTTTCTTCAACACCATAGAACATTCTCCAGGATACAGACTATATGTTAGGACCCAAAACAAGTCTCAACACATTTGTTAAAATCCAAGTAATATCAAGGTATCTTCTTAGAATACAATGGAATAAAACTAGAAATCAGTAACAAGAGGAACTTTGGAAACTGCACTGGGAAAACCGGATATCTAAATTTATTAGGTGACATTCTATGTTAAGAAAGACCTTCCCCTTTTCACCTTCTTTATTCTCTCTTTCTGCCAGTATAGACTGAAAAATCTATTTTTAATTCAATACTTTATAATCCATTGCTCATTTTACTTCCCTCTGTAAATCTCCTAGTTTTCCTACTGGGCTGTCTACTTCCTCTGTCCCACAGCTCTTGGGAGACCATCCTGGTCCTGCCCATCCACCCTGTCTGCAGATAGGGGTCTGCAAGAAGGATAGGAGTCTGCAAGGAGGAAGAAGAGTCTTTTTTTTTTTTTTTCCGGACACCGTTCTTCCAAGTGAAGTATTGCCAGAATGGATAAACAAACGCCACATGTACTCAATACTAAATTGGAGCGAATCAATCAACACTTGTGTGCACATATGGGGCGGTCGCGGTGGCTCACGCCTGTAATCCTAGCTCTCTGGGAGGCCGGGGCGGGCGGATTGCTCAAGGTCAGGAGTTCAAAACCAGCCTCAGCAAGAGCGAGACCCGTCTGTACTATAAATAGAAAGAAATTAATTGGCCAACTGATAGATATAGAAAAAATTAGCCGGGCATGGTGCGCATGCCTGTAGTCCCAGCTACTCAGGAGGCTGAGGCAGGAGGATTGCTTGAGCCCAGGAGTTTGAGGTTGCAGTGAGCTAGGCTGACGCCACGGCACTCACTCTAGCCTGGGCAACAAAGCGAGACTCTGTCTCAAAGAAAAAAAAAAAAACTTGTGTGCACATTATGGAACACTTACAATTTTGACTCAAACTGTACAAAAGGAAATTATGTAACCAAAACGTGTGTGTCCCTGTAATATTCTGAAATTTTAAAAAATGGAAAAAATGGAAAAGGAGGCAGAGCCAAGATCCAACACCTGCGGCTTCCAGCCAATTCCTATCAGGGTGGGTGGAGCCTGGCCCCACGCTGAGTCCTGGAGTGGCTGAGAGCAGTGAGACCACGCCCCCTTATGAAGACAGCCAATCAGGACTCGAGGTGCTGGTTTCTCCATTGTGAAGAACCAGCCTTTGATGGTCTGGGTATTGGGGTTCTGGTTAGAACAAGGGGAGGTGTAGGGATCTGGCTCTTGGTTTGCACTACACTCCGGGTGTGTCTTTGGTTGAGTAGAAAGATCATGGCCCCAAAACCGAAAGCTCCCGCACCTGCCCCGGGTGCCCCACCTCCCCCTGCTGCCCCGGGTGCCCCACCTGCCCCGGGTGCCCCACCTGCCCCAGGCGCCCCAGGGGAAGCGCCCAAAGGGCCGGAGACTAATCAGACGCCGGAAGAGCTGGCATTTTACGCCCCAAATCACAAATGTTTGGCCATCTTCGCTATAATTTGTTTCCCTCCCTTGGGACTTGCGGCTTTCTACTACAGCAACCAGGTAAGACAATACCCATGCCGTAGCCCATCCTGTCCTCTACTTGCCCCTGCATCTGCTCCTGTCCTGGGACCTGGGTAGGGGCTTTCCCTTAGTGGCAGCGGGTCTCCAACCCTTCTCCCAAGGGTTTCTGGACTCAGAAAACCACATCTGTGCTTCCGCCCCTGTAGACCACAGAGGCTAACCAGAAGAGCCAGTGGGAAGAGGCTTACATCAACTCAGGCAAAACTGGTTGGCTGGCTACATTTGCCATACTCATCGGTTTAGGCCTCCTTTACATCTATGCCCTATATATCTGAAGGCCAGACCCAGCAGCCCAGGGGGCCACTCCCCAACAGAGCCACCCACCAAGAAAAACACTGCCCATCCAAGTCAGCCACCATGCAAGAAACTCCACAGCTGAGACATCCCCTAGCCGAGAAACCCACCAACCAAGGAACTCAACATTCAAGCAACCAACTAGCCCTGGAACACGCAGACCACCTGCCTGTACTACGCCAGCTCCCTCAGCCTCCAGAGCTATCTTCAATACCACCTTAGGGATCTACACTTCGTGCCCTAGATCCCCTTAGCTCCTTGAAACTGAGCTTCTCTTTCAGAGAAATGTCTATTTAAACGAATAAAATTGAATGGAATGTTCTGGACTCTCATGTGTGTTTGGTATGTGGTGTGTGGGTTCACACGTGTGTGTGTGTTTTCTGGGTATCTGTGTTTCACTGGGGCTATGCGTTTTCTACACTGTGTGAAAATCACAGTGTTCTAAATGGGAAGCCCAAGCACATGGTGATCAGGCAGACTGGGCTTATATCCATCTCTGACACTTTAAGAAGCAAGCTTAGGAGAAAATCTTCCTGACCCCGGGTTAAGCAAAGAATTCTTAGACACGATACCAAAAGCACATCCATAAAAGAAAAAGAAAAAAAAAAAATTGCCCTACAAATTACACTGTTAGGAAATAAAAAGATAAGCTAGGGACCACGAGAAAATATTTGCAAGTCACTTAATCTTGCAAACGACTTGTAATTCAAGAATAGATTGTCCCCTCAGGCCTTCGCTCCTCCCAGGCCTCCGCCACCTCGCCCCCTGCCTCCCCCCCGCCCCCCGCGCATGCGCAGGGGCATTTTTCCCGTGGCGCTCTGGGGCGGGGAGGTTTGTAGGTAATGGCGGGCACTCGGTCGCTGGGTCGTCGCGGAGGATCTTCTACCCAGCTGTACGTGTGGCGACAAGGGCGAAGGGAGTGGCTCCTCGCTGTCGAGCGAGCGGCTCTCCCGAAGACTCGAACCGCCACCAGCTGCTGCAGAAGCGGGCGAGCGTGTGGAGCCCCACAAACGGGGACGCGCCCGTGGGCAACGCAGAGAAGGTGCGGCTGGAGGAGGCGACGGCGGCCGCCGGGCCACTCGTTGAGCTGGGTGACCAGCGAGAGGGACACCGACTTCATCCTGCCGCGCAGCGTTTCCTGTAACGTTTCTGTGGACGAGGAACAGCAGCTATCCACACGTGGAAAAGGAAAACCGTCGCATTCTTCAGACTTTGTACCGCACGGGGCGCTGCTCGCTCCATCGTGGCTGCATATGTAGATGCACTCCCAAGCGTCTTGATTATGAGAGGGACGTGTTTTGCCTCAGCTTGCTAAAGCCGTTGAGAGTTATATGTTAGGGTCCGCTGAAAAGCAGGTTGTGTCAGAAGATAAAGAGCTTTTTAATCTCGAAAGCAGAGTTGAAACAGAAGATTCTTTAAAGCAGATGGAAGGTGTCTCGGAGGCATTACAAAGGCAGCTGTCGGAGGTTGAATCACAATTGCCCTTTGACAGTTACAAAACCTGAACTCTACTCTGTGTCCCTCACTCTGCCCTGTCCCTTCTACCCTTATTTGTTAAAAGAGAAGAATTGTAGCATTACTTTTACAGCTATGTTTTATGGTAAAGAGGTGATTATTTCCCAAATTCCAATTTTAAAGCCATTTTATGGTACTTTCTGGAATTGGGAGTTTTTATTTTGATAAGAAAGTGGGATAATTTTCTGAACTGTTTTCTCCTCTGTATCAAGTTCATTATTCTTCCTTTCCTATTTTTTGAGAACTTTAATTTACCTTTAATACTTGGGACAATATTTAATATGAATGATAAGAAAATCGTATAGTTTTTTCTACCCACAGTGTGATTGAATCTTGTCTGAAAATTAAATGCATAAAGCTTGTTGGAGAAACTGATCAGTTATTTGTCAGAACTATTTGAAAACTTGCACAAGAGCAGAATAGCACACATGTACAGTAGGATTCCACTTTATCCTGTTTATTTACTAGTATATGCTTTAAAAATCTGGAAGAATACTTATCAGAGTAGGATTGATGGGAATTCCTTCTACAGTGGGATTCTGGGGGAATTTTTAGTTTTTCAGTTTTATATAATGTAAACTTTTATAGTGTGTGTATTATTTTTATAATCAGGAATAGAATAAAGATTAAAGTGCTTTAAGGTTGATTTTTAAACTGAAAAAAGAAAGGAAAAGAAAAGAAAAAAGAATATATAAAGGACCCTCAAAACTCAGCTATAACAAAAACCACTCAATTTTTTTTAAATGGGTGAAAGACTTGAACAGACACTTCACAAATGTCAAATAAGCACCTTGCAAATTCACCCTCTAGTGCTGAAGAATCTGACTCCAAGTTGTTAAATGACCATGCTCAAGGGTGCCTGATGAACTTGTGATACTGTAAAATATATATTTGGTCTTCAATCCGTTTCCTGATGTACTTCTCCTAAAATCCTTGGAATCTCCAAAGTGATATCTTTTTGCGTGCTAATAAGTTGACTGATGGCTAGTATCCCCTATCTTGAGGTAGATGATGGGGGCTGGTCACTAGAAAAACTAAGTAATGATTAGAAGGTTGGAATCAGTCCCATCCCCAACCTCCAGGGAGGAGAGAAGGGCTGAAAGTTAAGTTGATCACCAATGAACAATGGTCAATGGTTTAATCAATTATGCTTATGTAATGAAGCCCCCATAAAAACCCAAAAGGACAAGGTTTGAGGAGCTTCAGATAGCTGAACACGTGGAGGTTCCTGGAAGGTGGCCACCCAAGAAGGGCATGGAACCTCTGTGCCCCTTCCCCCATGCCTAGCCCGGCCTATCTCTTCATCTGTATCCTTTGTAGTATCCTCTATAATAAACCAGTAAATGTGTTTCCCTGGGTTTTGTGAACTGCTCTAGCAAATTAAACTAACCTAAAGAGGGGGTTGTGGCAGACCCAACTTGAAGCCAACTGGTCAGAAGCTCCAAATGCCTGAACTTGCAACTGGTGCCTGAAGGGGGAGGGGCAGCCTTGTGGGACTGAGCCCTCAACCTGTGGGATCTCATACTATCTCCAGGTGGCTAGTGTCAGAATTGACTTGAAGGACAGCCAGCAGGTGTCTGCTGCAGAATGAATGACTTGCTTGGGATATGCGGAAAACCCCACACACATTTGGACACAGAAGTCTTCTGTGTTGATTGTCCTGGTGTGAGAACAGAGGAAAAACACTGCATTTTTCCTCAGGCAATACAACATTCCCAGGCCCACATCACTCTTGCCCCAAGTAGTGCTTTTCCACCAAGATGTCCAAGAAGAGCCTTTAAACAAAGGTGTTCAAGGAGATGAAGCCTATTTCCAGGCACCTTCTGAAGGTGGAACCAGGGATTCCCAAATGACCAATCAACTTAAAGAATAGGAAGGGCCAGAAGCCCATCACACCAATCAGTAGCCAGGTAGTCATTCCCACCCTATTACACACAACCTCCAATCGGCCAATAGAATGAGAAAGACAGGCTAGGAGGCGGGGTCTGCCTGGTCTCCATGGTAATCCCTGGTGTTTTGTGATCAATGAAGAGCTTTCCTGTAACACCGGCAGTGCCAGGCCCAGGTACCCTACTGGGAATGTTTGAGGGGGACAGGAAGTAGGAGGAAGAGGGTTAGAGAGGGCAGAGGGGAAGTGATGGGAGCAGAGACGGATCATAAGTGGAGAGGAGAGGGTGTTATAAGAGGACAGAGAAGTATTTAGAGGAGACATGAGTTTAGGAGAGCAGGGAGGATGTTATAAGTGGATAGTGAGGAGTTCGAAGGGTCAGAAAGCTGGTTTCAGAGGATACAAATGAAGAGATGCCCAGGGTGAGGCTTGTGAGAAGGGGCATGCCATGCCCTCTCCCGGAGCACCATCTCCAGGCCCTCCACATGTTCAGCTGTCTGAAAGCTCTCCAGGCCCTGGGCTTTTATGGAGGCTTCATTACATAGGCATGATTGACCAAACCATTGGCCATTGGTGATCAACTCAACCTTCAGCCCCTGTCCACTCCCTAGAGGCTGGGGAAAAAGGCTGAAGGCCCCCAACCCTCTAACCATGCCTTGGTCTTCAGCAGACAGAATTTTATAAGGGGAAAGAGAAGAGGTTATGGGTGGACAGGGAAAGGAGTTAATAGGTGGTCAAGGAGGTTTGGAAGGAGCTGGGCTGCGGGGTTTATGGGAGTAAAGGGATATAGCAGGACCATGAAGGATTAATGGGACAAAGTGAGGGGTGTTATAAAAGGGACAGGGAGAGAGCTATTAAAAGTTTTATGGAGTAAGAGTTTTATAAGGGGACAATGAATTCATAATGAAGTTTTCACAGATGAAAAGTGAGTACCTTATTAGTAGGGTGTTTTACAGGGGCAAAGAGAAGGCTGCTTTGGGGACAAGGACGATGTTATAGGAACAAAGTGTTTCTGAGGGTCCATTGAGTTTTTAGGGAGGCCAAATGAGAGTCATCAGAGTCAGGGGTTTTGTGGGGGACAGTGGAAGGGGCCAAGTCAGAGATGCTGTTGAGGGCTGATGAGGCAGCTGTCACAAACAGGGAGGAGGTTAGAGGGTACGGGAAAAGTGCTACCAGGAAAGAGTTAGAGAGATTATAGCACATGGAGAGCAGGGAGTTCTAAGGGACAGGGAGGCATCAAAAGGGATAGGGGGGGCCGGGCGCGGTGGCTCACGCCTGTAATCCTAGCACTCTGGGAGGCCGAGGCAGGAGGATCGCTCGAGGTCAGGAGTTCGAAACCAGCCTGAGCAAGAGCGAGACCCCGTCTCTACTATAAATAGAAAGAAATTGATTGGCCAACTAATATATATAGAAAACATTAGCCGGGCATGGTGGCACGTGCCTGTAGTCCCAGCTACTCAGGAGGCTGAGGCAGCAGGATTGCTTGAGCCCAGGAGATTGAGGTTGCTGTGAGCTAGCCTGACGCCATGGCACTCACTCTAGCCTGGGCAACAAAGCGAGACTCTATCTAAAGAAAATAAATAAATAAATAAATAAAAGGGATAGGGGGAGGTAGGAGGGGACACGGTGGGAGTTAAAGGGCATCAGTGAGAATTTTAAAGAGGGTCAATGAGGAGTTTATAGCTGCAAAAGAGAGATGTGTTAGGGTAAACAAGGAGAGAGTCAGAAGGGACGGTAGAGTTCAGAAGCCATACTGAGTCACAACCCATTTTCTGCCCTCAGCTCTATGAACCGGTGATGCCCACCAGCAAGCCCAATGACTACCTTTTGCTGTCCATCTTGGGCCTCTTTTGTTGCTTCCCGCTAGCTATCCCAGCATTGATCTTTTCTGTTGAGGTGGGAATGTGCACCACAGTGACCCTCAGTCTCCCCTCTCCATCCTGGCCCTGGCCCTGACTCAACTTCTCCCTTGTTTCTCCCTCCTGTGCTAGGGGCCCAAGCAGTGCCAGCACCCACTGTGGGTTCAGACCTCCACCCTGGGTCCTTAGAGTCCCACAGACCAGCAGGGGAGGAAGAGGTAGCATGCAATAACCCTTCTAACCTCTCTTTCCCCATTGACCCTCTCCCCTGGAACTCAGACAAGGACCCACAACAGAACAAATGACTATAACATGGCAACAAAGACCTCCAAACAAGCCTTCTTCTGGGCCATCTTGAGCATTGTCGTGGGACTCTCAAGCCCTTTCTTAGTTTTCTTCCTGCTGCACTTAACTAAGTTGTAACCTCCTTCCTAGCTCACGAACAAACCACCAAATATACACAAGAGTACAATCGAGCCTGGCTCTAAGTATCTGTCAGGGCTGAAAGGGACATGTGCTCTTCAATGTCTGGAGTACCAAGAGATTTGAGATGAAGAAAAGACATGCAAAGTGTTCTTCCTACGCTCACACACCACTCAACACAACACTTCCAACACCAGACGTGTGAAGGGGGCAGGGTGTCCCTACACACCAACCAACCGTGACACCAGCATCTCCTGCAGACACCAGTTGGGTGTCCTATAATTTAATCTACCCAGGCCAGGTGCTGTAATCCTAGCAGTCTGGGAGGTCGAGGCGGGCGGATCGCTCAAGGTCAGGAGTTCAAGACCAGCCCAAGCAAGAGCGAGACCCCCTGTGTACTAAAAATAGAAATAATTGGCCAACTATACATATATATATATATATATATATATTTAGCCGGGCATGGTGCGCATGCCTGTAGTCCCAGCTACTCGGGAGGCTGAGGCAGGAGGATCGCTTGAGCCCAGGAGTTTGAGGTTGCTGTGAGCTAGGCTGATGCCCCGGCACTCTACCCTGGGCAATAGAGTGAGACTCTCTCTCTCTATATATATATATATAAAAAAAACACTTACCTAGAGACAGCATCAGATTACACAAGGTGAGAGCTCAGTCCCACAAGACTGCCTCCCACGTCAGATTTAGTCACAAGTACTAGGTTGTCAATGACATTTCTGACAGATCAGGGTTCCCATGAGCCCCTCCTAAGGCTCCATTCATTTGTGAGAGTGGCTCACAGAACTCAGGGAAACAAACACTTTCCTTACCTTTACCCAATGATTATAAAGGATATTACAAAGGTTGCAGATGAACAGCTGGGGAAAGATGCATTGGGTGGAGGCTTATGGGGAGGGGCACGGAGCTTCCATGCCCTCCCCCAGGTGTCACCCTCCAGGTACCTCCGCTCTCTGTAGGTTCACTGAATCCAGTCCTTTTGGGGTTTTATGAAAACTTCATTACATAGGCATGATTGGTTACATCACTGGCCACTAGTGATCGACCTACCCTTAAGCCCCTCTCTCCTCCCCAGAGGTTGGGGGGTGGGGCTGAAAGTCCCAATTCTCTATTCATGCCTTGATCTTTCCAGTGACCAGCCCCGACCCTGAAGCTGTCTGTCTAGGGGGTAGCCAGCCACCAGTTGTCTCATCAGCACGCAAAAGACACTCTTTTTTTTTTTTTTTGAGATAAAGTCTCGCTTTGTTGCCCAGGCTAGAATGAGTGCCATGGCGTCAGCCTAGCTCACAGCAACCTCAAACTCTTGGGCTCAAGCTATCCTCCTGCCTCAGCCTCCCAAGTAGCTGGGACTACAGGCATGCGCCACCATGCCCGGCTAATTTTTTCTATATATATTAGTTGGCCAATTCATTTCTTTCTATTTTTAGTAGAAACACATCTCACTCATGATCAGGCTGGTTTCGAACTCCTGACCTCGAGCAATCCTCCCACCTCGGCCTCCCAGAGTGCTAGGATTACAGGCATGAGCCACCGTGCCGGGCCAAAAGACACTCTTAACACTCCAGAGATTCCGTGGGTTTTCAAAGCTCTGGGCCATGAAACGAGACCAAGACCAAATATATATTTCACAATATCACACAAGTGTTGCCAGCCTGAGTCAGCAATTTGAGGGGAAGAAAATGGTAGCTCAGCCAGCCCATTGGACCAGAAGTCAAAACGAACTCTGGGACCCTGCCAAGGGGTGGGGGCCATGGGAGAGCCAGTAGGGCGCTGTTTCTTAAGGACAGCCCGCCCACATTCATGCCCTCACACCTCAAATCTCTTTATGCCCACGAGGCCCTTGACCGGGACTCTGGGAACACAGGAGTGACCAGCTGAAATCCAGCCCCACCCCCTGAGAACTTGTAAACCGGGGTGAGACACAGACATGCCACCAGAAAGTGACAATCTAGAGTGATCCAATCTATCCTGAGAGAAAACTGGGGAGGGGGTGTTAAAAAATTCTTCGTGGCCGGGCGCGATGGCTCATGCCTGTAATCCTAGCACTCTGGGAGGCCGAGGCGGGAGGATTGCTCGAGGCCAGGAGTTCAAAACCAGCCTGAGCAAGAGCGAGACCCCGTCTCTACGAAAGATAGAAAGAAATTAATCGGCCAACTAAACATATATAGAAAAAATTAGCCGGGCATGGTGACGCCTGCCTATAGTCCCAGCTACTTGGGAGGCTGAGGCAGGAGGATTGCTGGAGCCCAGGAGTTTGAGGTTGCTGTGAGCTAGGCTGATGTCACGGCACTCACTCTAGCCTGGGCAACAGAGTGAGACTCTGTCTGGGAAAAAAAAAAAAAAGGCCGGGCGTGCTGGCTCACGCCTGTAATCCTAGCTCTCTGGGAGGCCGAGGCGGGCGGATTGCTCGAGGCCAGGAGTTCGAAACCAGCCTGAGCAAGAGTGAGACCCCGTCCCTACTATAAATACAAAGAAATTAATTGGCCAACTGATATATATATAAAAAATCAGCCGGGCATGGTGGCGCATGCCTGTAGTCCCAGCTACTCGGGAGGCTGAGGCAGGAGGACCATTTGAGCCCAGGAGTTTGAGGTTGCTGTGAGCTAGGCTGACGCCACGGCACTCACTCTAGCCTGGGCAACAAAGTGAGACTCTGTCTCAAAAAAAAAAAAAGAAAGAAAGAAAGACAAAATTCTTCAATGACACTCGTTAAAGCATGGCAAGGCAGACCTTATGCTGGACCATCTCGATAAGTATGGGCAACAGGGGCTCGCAGCGGGGGAAGAAACTGGACTCAACTCCAAACACAGAAAGAGCAAGTGCGGCTTTACAGCCAAGAAAAAATTAGCCGGGCATGGTGACGCCTGCCTATAGTCCCAGCTACTTGGGAGGCTGAGGCAGGAGGATTGCTTGAGCCCAGGAGTTTGAGGTTGCTGTGAGCTAGGCTGATGTCACGGCACTCACTCTAGCCTGGGCAACAAAGTGAGACTCTGTCTCAAAAAAAAAAATTGCAGGGTGGGGGGCAGCGCATGGAAAATCACTAAGGGGAAACATCAGGGCTAAAGGGGGATTCTGGCTGAAATGACCTAGAAGGATTCTACTAAAGACAGGCCGGGGTGACCAGACATCACCTGGGGGATGGAGGAGGATGAAGAAAAGTAAGTACTATTATTTTCCCCAGTTCATAAACGAAACTGAGGCCAGAGAGATGGAGGGACCTGCCCAGGGTCATCCAGCACGCGAGTGGTGAAGTCAGGACCCGGGCCCAGGCACTCGGCTGCAGAGGCTTTGCTTGTAATCACTGCCTTCTGAGCTGCTGGATCACACAGCACCTGAACCAGCACAGTCTGAACCGGTACACAGTTTGCACTCATGTGAGCCAAGATACTTCTTGTTTGGGAGGAAAAAAAATGCTTTGACATGGGTTTGGGTGGCATTTGTCACCAAAAACAATCCTAAATGTGAGAGGACAGAGGAGATGATCCAACCAACCTAGGGGGTCAGGGAAGGCTTCCCCGGGGAGGGCACATCTGAGCTAAGACTTAGAGGAGGAGGAGGAGGTAACCATCAAAGAGAAGGAAGAAGGGTGATCCAGGTAGGGGTACAGCTGGAACAAAAGCCCAGATGGGGGAGGGAGGGAGCTGTGACAGCCACTGCCCCAAGTGAGCAGGCTGCTTTCATCCCTGTGAAGGTCTTAACCTGGGGAGAAGTTCCCCTGACTCAGCCACTTTCCCCGATGCCCTGTCATCACTTGCCCAGGTTCCCTGCCCTGGCCTCAGTCTCCCCCTCTGATCCGCCCTCCATAGAACAACCAGAATGTTCAAGCCAGGAACAGAAAGTTCTCACAGTACTCACTCTAGCCTGGGCAACAAAGCGAGGCTCTGTCTCAAAAAAAAAAAAAAGAAAAAAAAGAAATGTTCCAAATCTACAGACAGGACGGAAAAGGGATCCAACAAACCCCCAAGTACTACCAAGATTTAAAAGATGTAAATTAAATAAAATTTTAAAAAATTTAAAAAGACAAAAAATTAAAAAATATTTTTAAAAGATGTAACTGTCTTCTTATATTTGCATCAGATCTCTTCTTGTTGGAAATAAAATTGTATAGATAGATATTATTCTCCTTCCCCTCTCCTTCTGTGTTCTGCTCTTCCCTCCCTTCTTCCCTTGTTTCCAGGAAAAAAATAAAAAACCTGGACTTTGTGCTGCTGTGAATCCTCCTGTGTGTTTTTACACTTTTACTAAATGCGTGTGTGTACAATGACATGGAGTTGTGGTTTTAGGGGTGTCGTGGTGCTTAGTGACTTCTGACAAATCTTTCCGGCTCTCCACCTTCCAGGCCTCACCCAGACACCTCCTAACAAGAGGACTGTGGAATTCAGTCTCCTCCAGACTGAAATACTGGCGTGTGCAACATTTAGTCAAAGGCAGTCTGCATAAATGACAGTGGTGCCATAAGATTATAGTGCCGTATTTTTACTGTACCTTTTCTATGTTTAGATACACAACACCATAGTGTTATAATTGCCTGCAGTGTTCGGTACAGTAACATGCTGGACAGGTTTGTAGCCTATGAGCAACAAGCTACACCTTTTGTCGCTTAGGCATGCAGTAGGCGATGCCACCTAGGCCTGTGTAAGTACATTCTATGATGGTCGCTCAATGATGACGTCACCAACAGTGCACTTCTCAGAATGTATCCCCGTCATTAAGTGCTGCATGATTGCAGATGGTGTGAAAGTTGTCAGAAATCAAAAGGGAGTCACTTGGCCAGGCACAGTGGCTCATGCCTGTTATCCTAGCACTCTGGGAGGCCAAGGTGTGAGGATCGCTTGAGGTGAGGAGTTCGAAACCAGCCTGAGCAAGAGCAAGACCCCATCTCTACTAAAAGTAGAAAGAGATTAATTGGCCAACTAAAACTATATAGAAAAAAAATTAGCAGGGCATGGTGGCACATGCCTGTAGTCCCAGCTACTCGGGAGGCTGAGGCAGCAGGATTGGTTGTGCCCAGGAGTTTGAGGTCGCTGTGAGCTAGGCTGAC